TGCACTTCCCTTGTTAATATTTGATTGTTTAATGATCGCGTACGAGTTTATTATATGCTCAAGAATCTTTTTATTTTATGATTATTTCAAAATAGTTAAATTCTCCAAAAGTGTAGGTTTTATTAAAAATCTCTTCATGAAATGCTTTCAATTGGTACCTTTTATATCTGATCTCAAATATTGAATATAATTTTTCAAAATTATTTTGATATATAGTCAAAGGAGAAGAGTCAAAAATGACATGATAAAAGCCAATAATACAGGAACATATATCTGTTTATTATACAGTATGTAGCACATATATTCCGTCCAAATAATGGTCAGACATTAGTGGCAATTGTGTCTTCATTTAGCTAATGTCTTACCATTATGTGAGAGTTTCTTAGTTATTATATTAAAAACAAATAAAAAAAATTATCAGAAAATGAAACAAATAATTGGCAGGGAAGGAGTTAATAGTTTATTTATCTGGTAATAAAATTCATTGAGCATGAATTTATTTGTAGTGATGTAAAAAGCTTACATAAATGATCTTGAATGTTTTAAAGTTGTTATTGCCAATTAAATTTTATCTACAAGTTTTTATATACATATCTTTAGAAATAATTTTTATGTATTTATATATTTTAGCTGAGAAAGTCCTGTTTAACATAAATCATTGTTTTTTATTAGTTTTTTCCTGTATAAGCAAAATTAATTTTCTTTTATAGGATTTTTGTATTTAATATGAAGCCAAATCTGGTTAAAAATTTAAATTTTAATTATTTAATATTCCTAATTGTTTTACGGTATTGAAATGGGAATGATTATTTGAAAATTTAAAATGTGTTTTTATTTAAATATTTATTAGTTGATGCTAAATATTCTTCTCTTGTAGAGAATGAAACATTTTTAGTATTTTGTTCTCCATCATCTTCCATTAAGAAAAAAAATAAATACTTGAAAGTCACACTAATGTGCTAGAATCTAAATCTCTTTGCCATTACAAAAATAGGTATGTTGTCAATATGACCTTTGCATCATTTACAGGAATTTTCTTTTTATACCAAGTAAGTTACATGTGTTATTCAAAAGAAAACTTTTCCATGTTATAGCAAGGTTTGTAATGTAACAAAAATAACACTCAAATTGTGACTTTAAAATGTTTCTTTTGTCTATTTCTCAAGAAATGTACTCTAAATCCCAATGTTTACATCTTAAATTATCTTTTTTTTTCTCTATTGTCTTATTCCTTAATTTTATTAAAAATAAAATAATTTTCATCAATTTTTCTACTTCTGAATTTTAATATGTGACTCTCTACCCACCGCAATTTCTTTCTCTTCAATATTTTTTTCTTTTTACTAAACTTTTTTGGTAAGTGAAATCTATTCTTTTCAGTCTCCGATCTTTACAGCTGCATGTCTCTTCCTAAAATGATCATTGTTCGTATTTAATGCTTAACTTCTTCCTTGTGAAGAAATTGCACAATCAGATTATATATCTTCATGTCTACAAATCTGTTATACTTAAAATTTATTATTTTTACTCCAAGTTTAAGTAAACGTTGATAAACCGTAAAAAAACAAATCAATCAATCCAAGTTTAGATTCATATCCTTGTTCTAATCTCATTCTTATGAAATATCTTTCAAGAGATTATTTTATTTGAATGCTTTTACTTGTATTCAGAAAATTTTCTTTTGTGAAATGTTATTTTTGTTTAAAGGATGGTAACAAATATGTAAGTATAATTATTTCATGACATCTTGATTCTAATTTTTATCTTTTTTTAAATTCTTTTTAAAATTTCATTAATTATGTAAACATATGCCAAATTAGATCTTGATCAGATTTAAAACAATCACAAAATAAAGATCAAAATTTAATAGATTTTTTTTTTTTCCTTTTTGCTTTCAGTGTTTTTTGTTTGAATAAATATAAGCAAATTCATTTTTTTTTTTTTTTTTTTTAAATTTTATTTTATTTTTTTTATTTCGCCCCAAACAAGATGTAAGGGATGTAAGGAAATGAAAGAGAATGAGAAGACTTTAACATTTATCACTCTGTGTATAACTTTATTTGCTTTGCAGAAAGCTTATCCTGCCATGGAAGGTGACTCTGATCTCTGAATTTGTTTGAATTTCATAGTTGTGTTGTGATATCCTGCTATGGCAACAGAAAACATCTTTGAGTAAAATTAACAATAAGAATACTACAATTGAGAGGCTTTGAAAAAGAATGAAATTGAAAGGGAAGTAATATTAATAATTCAGAATATTAAAGGTTAAGAGAAGGAACCAGAGATGAAATCCTAAACAGGAAACAAAAGATAAACCTTTACTCCTGTTCAAAAGATCTCCTATTGAAAAAAAAATATAAGAGATTAAAAATAAATTAGTAAATAAAATTTCGTTTTTTAGGTGAAGATGCTAGAAGTGTAGAGTTAAAACTAAGAATAATTGCATATATTCAGGTAGAGGGAGTTAATTATGTAACGACTGTTTTCAAAACTGAGTCGGATATGGCAGTTTAAAGTTTGTTTTTTGTTTTGTTTTGTTTTGTTTTTTTATACGGAGACTGTAATGTTCTAATATTATTTTAAATATTTTCTTCCAGTTTAGTAGGTTGTCCTTTTTTTTTTTTCTTTGTTTAAAATTGATAACTTAATATCCACATTTTGGCACAGGAATATTCCAACAATTGTTATCAATCTCTGTAAGAATTTTATAAGGAATTCTCTCAAAGACTTTAGTAGTAATTCTCTATTGACATTTAAAACAACAGGACATTGTATCTGTTTGGAAAAACAAACAAACACAATAAAACACTGCAATAAGCAGATATTTTACAGTGTATTTCAAAGAAAGATGTGATAAAAAAAAATTTAAAAAAAACAGAAGGATTTAAGAAGTAGGGATTGGTGTCCCACTCCATCTACCCTTTGAATTCTTTTTGTCTTCCAGGTTTCTGATATTAATGGCATAATCAATAGTAACTGACACCTCAAGCCCCTCACCCCCCCCCCCCACACTGATTGCCTTTTATGGACATTGTGTGTGACTGGATCTGAAGAGGAAGTCACATAAATTTAGTAGTGAATGCATGCTGTCTTGCTTGAATATTAAATTATTAATGTTCACCTTCAGAAAGAGTATAGTAATGGCAAAATTTTGCATGTATGATCTAATATTATAACCTCAGATAGAATTGCATGAGACAACAGTTTCATGATAAACTATGGTGGGCATTATTTATTTGGCATTTGTTTTCATATTTAATCCATTGGGAGGGGGGTATTGGAAACAAATATAACACCTAAAAAATAATTATACTTATATATGTATGTTGCTAACATTTTTCTTTTTGGTTATGAATTTTGAAAATTTTGTCCATTCATTTTTTGTCTTTATTCCAGAGATGTCTGTAACAATTGGGCCAACTCAGGAGTGGCCATTTTCTCATTGTATATAATAAATAAAGGATTATTTGTACTATTGATAAGTTTTTCTTGTGAAAGTTTTGTAATTAATTTTTTTCAATTTATTACAAAACGCACAGTGATTGAAATTGAAATTTTTGACGATAAAATTCTATTCAATTTTGAAACATCTTAAAAATGTGTAGAAGTGTAATTTAGCTTAAGTCTGTATTGATTTTGATGTCTATTTTAATTATATATATAATTATATATTGATGCCTATTTTAATTATATGTTCTCATAGATTTTTAAGATAATTATTTTCACATGTAGCATGTCATATATTTAACAGAATTTTGTAAAAACATTTAAAAATTAACATGAAAAAATTACATTAAAAACTGTTTTTAATTTTTAAGTGGAAAACAAATTTTGAATTAATCTGAATATTATTGCTTAGAATAAAGACAATTATTATTATGAATTTTGGCTCTAGATCTTTAAAGGATTCATAGGTTTATAAAAGCTAGTCTTTTTGCTTTGTACTTCTAAATTCAGAAGGAAATTAGACTTTGCTTTATATGATCTATACTGTTGTTTCGGCAATGTTTAACCATTTTTTTGTCTGTAAAAAAAAAAAAAAAAAAAATGGTATCTCAAAAGGACAGTTATTCATTTGATACCGCTATTACAGTATACACTTTTGACTCCCTTGGCAAAGGTTTATTTACAAGATTATAAAAATTTGATGCGATATTATTTACCTTTTATAAAGATTTATTATTTACTATTTTTTTAAAGAAATAAATTTAAAAAGAAATCTTTTTATTTAAAAATTTATAAAATCTTACAAAATTATCAAAATATGTAAATTGACTACAATGGAATATTTATTATTTACCATTTTATAAATAACTATGAAATCAAGTTTTATTCATAATTTTCTAAAAATATCAATAAACAATAAAACAAGAAAATTTGAATAAACATTTATTTCACTTTTTAAAATGATAAACACTGCTAAGAAAGTCAAGAGAATAACTGTCCTTTTTACACACTATTTCTTTGCAAGCACAAAGGTAAAACATTGTCATTGTTTTATATGAGAAACTCATATTTATAAATATTTTTATTTATTTTTTAATAAATGTATCTATAGTAAATATAACAAATATATAGGAATTATACTTCAGCTGACTGATCATGAGAAATTTTGATAATTTCAAAAGAGAAAAATTTCCCTTGAAATAATTTGACTCTAAAAATAATTCTGTTATCAAGGATGAATGAGATCACTCAAAAAGGATAAAATGAAATTGTATTTAAGATATTTTTTTTTTTCTGTCTGATTTGTACCTTAGGTTGCTTTCTGTTATAATAAATTAAATTTCTTTTTCTAAAAAATGCTATTTGTTAATACAATGCAGAAAATTAGACCACAATTTTTTACAGAGATCAGCTTTACACTTGACGATAACCATTTCCAAGAAATATATTTTCATTTTTTTTTCTCTCATTGCAGCATATCATGTTGTTTTTATTATTCTTTATGCATATATGTATTTATATCTTTTATTTTTCTTTGTGTTCCTGTCTTTTAGATTTCATGTATCAAGAAGCTTTCCTGACCACATATAGAACATTTATTTCACCAAAGGAATTGATTGAAAAGTTACTCTACCGCTTCCACAAGTTTCAGCACGTATCTGACATAAGCAAAAAAAGATTGGCGCGGAACTCTTTTTCTCTGTTGATACGTGTCCTTGACGAGCTCAGGTAGGGCCATTAGTTTTGATTACACTTGCATGTTGTTGAATAAAATCATATTACACTTAGCTTGATACATATCTGATGAGAATTTTAAAATTTATATGTAATAACATCAAACTTATCACTTAATTTTCTAATTAGGTCATGAGTTTATAAAAAGTAAACTTCCCTAGAAAAGTAAAAAAAAAAAATGAAAGATATTTATCTTTCAGTGCAGTGGTTGTGAGTAGAGGGGATTTACAAAAATTCAATTTAATCATTTTTTTTTTTTTTTTTTTTTAATAACTAAATTAAATTAAAAATATTTTATTCAGGATCACTTCTTGTATTTAATTTTATTAATTTTTTTACCCTTCATTCTTTCTTTGTAAACCTTACTGCATTGATTTTTCTCCTCCCGGCTATGGGTTAATTAGCAGGATAGACTTGACTCTCTGGCCTTTATTTAGGCAGTAAAAATTCAAACAAAGGTCTCTGTTTAATTTTTCTACTGTATTTTTCTAATTTATGAGTAAGTTGTTTCACATCCAGAACAGCTTATTTGTAAATTAGAAAAATATAATAAATTAAACTGGCACACCTTGTAATAAAACTCATTCTCACACACACATGCATTATATATATATATATATATATATATATATATATATATATATATATATGAGGAGTTGTGCGCAAAGATTTCTGCCCAGTTGGTTGACTGCATCTCTGAAGCCATCTTTTTCTAAGAGAGCCTTCTCGGAGCCATCTTTCTCTGATGAACTCTCTCCTATTGTTTTAAGGTATAAGGGTTCAATAACAAGTCACACCCTTTGTTCAGAATGAGACTCTTTACCCAGTAAAAGTTTTGTTCATCTAATCATCAGTGTTATGGCTAAGAAGTGATTCCTCACAAAATTTCTGATATTTGGTCATGTTTTTGAAAGTGGTTCAGGCCAATATCTTTTCAGTGCCTTCTCATTATAATCTGAAGAACTTTCTCTCATTGTTTTTTTTTATGTATGAGGGTTCAGCAACATATTGTACCCTACCTATGTTTGTGCTTTTGATGACTTTTAGGGCCATCTTGATGTCCACACAGTATTTCACATGTAGGACAAGGAACATCACCCATTGTGAAGGCTGCAGGAATGTTAGAGCTGTGCTCAGTGTCCTGCTTTGTAATACATGGATATTCAATGTGTAACCTTGTATATATGTAGTTGTTCCCATTTTGTGTGTTTAATCATAGCTCATGCATTAATTTGTGTTTATTGTGTGTCTGGTTAGTAGGCAATAAAAACATTATCTCAATATCTCCTTTTCTCATCAGTCAGTGATTTGTTTGGCTCACAGACAAGATTTGCTTTCTTTCTTTCTCTCTTCATAATCCTCTTACCTTGTTTTTCTATACACACAGACCTACTAGATAGATTTTAGCACATTTTTTTCATATTTACAATAATAAGAAATATGATTTATCTTTAGCTGGGTCTATATTTGTCCAGAACAAACTACAAAAACCTTTCTTTTTTTTTTTTTTATAGTGTTTTATTCTTTCTTTAGTTATCACTGAAAAATACTGAGTTTTCGTGGTTATCTGAAATATATATATTTTACATAAGGCTAATATTTTAAGCATAGACTACAATTTTTTTTAATTAAAAATTTAAAGTTTTTTACATTTTCACATGAAGATTGTATATAATTTTTATTTATCAGTTTCTTTTTAATTTTGGGTTGGGTGGTTGATTTTATGACCTGTTAACCTTGGATGATTTAATGCCAAATTTTGTATAGGGCTCCCAATGAGGATTGAAGTCACTACTAATATTCAAATGATGAAGCTTACTAGCAATTACCTCAAACATTGACTAAATTTGTCATTTTAGTCTTTCTAAATAAAAAATTATTTTGGATTATATCAGTTTCCTTCTTTCACACTTTTTAATACTGTATATTGATGAACATAAATATTTTTTACATTCTTAATCAAATTTTTGTTCTAATTTGATGAGAAGTCTGCTTAATATCACTTTTGATATAAAAATCAAGCACTAAACATATATATGTATATAGGTATATGTAAGAAAGAGAAATGTGTGAACTTGTGCAGTAAGTGTTTTCTTGAATCTTTGTTTTAGATTGTCTCAAATAAATTCTTTTCTTTTTTTTTTTTTATTTTGAAATAGAATGAGATGTCCTGCTATAAAAATTAAGATATTTTTTTGCTATTCCATAAAACTGCTATTGTTGGCATGGTTGTTTTAAAACTGGTTGTGTGCTTAATATCAACTGAATTGCAAACTCACTACCAATTGTCAAAGAAGCTAAAGAACTCTTCCCTCTACCTGAATAATAAGAGTTATATTATATCGGCATGGAGTCTACAAGTTTCAGGTATCATTACCTGGGTATATCTAGGTATGGTCATAATTGAGTCGTGTTTGTTGGATGTGGCTACAGGAAATTTACTGAGGTTTACAATGCTCTATGGGCCTCAGATCTGGTGAACATGGGGGCCACTGGTGTACCTGGAAGTCAGCTGAGTGTTTCAGTTTTATAGCACCTGTGTTTCATGTGTAGTAGGGGTGCATTATCTAGCTGAAAGAAACCATTGCCTTTAGAAAATCTGGTAGGTATAAAAAGGTGCAAATGGTTTGCAACAAGATTTTTACTGTCAAGATAGATGTCAGTTTCATTAGTTGTCCTTGTAAACTCTAATAGGACACATGATAGATTCACTACAAGTTTGCACAACACTCTTCTGACAAACCACAACCATAAACCTCATGTGGTCTCTTACATACTCAACTATCTGTCTGAAACGGCTGAAATATGACTTATTCAACAACATGATATGACGTCAATTTTCCATAGTCCAATGTTTTCTGGTGCAGTTAAGATGCCATGGTGTCAATATTGATACTATTTTTAGTTGATGATTACCAAGCCAAAGATAGAATACAATATATGGATGGATTGAGTGCACCTGCATTGAATTGGGATGTGATTTTAATGCAATGTTCTCTTTTGTTGAATGGTTACCACTCTTGTTAGTCACCAGCAATCCAGTCCTTGCATCACCTGTGTGTGCTTGCAGCTTTCATACGTTGTTGATATCTATCTGGAATTATCTTGCTGCAGTTTATGTCTGCCACAGCTACACTACCTCTTTATCTGTTATGCTACACTGAGCCCATTTCTACATATGAGTTAGTTGAAATTATCCAGTGAACTGATATCTCTAATTTTTTGTTGCTTCAGTTTAGAATTGAACATTGATCTTAAATTTCTCTTTATCAAAGTAGCAGATTGCCTACCAGTGATTGCTTCATATGATTATCAAGTTTTTTGCACAGCAAATATATTTGTTTTACCAGATGGTACTTCATTTTCAGCAATTTTAATATTAAGTTTGTAACTTTTTAAAATCAATTTTCTATTTTTTGGGGATAGTTATCCTCATTTTTAACACAATTAAAACAAGGATGATAATACCAAAACTAATAACTGCAAGATATATATATATATATATATATATATATATATATATATATATATAAAGAACAATATTGGAGAAATTGTATGACAAAGTGGAAAAAAGTTTACTTGTGATGCATTTCATCCTTCAGGACGTCATTGGACTAAATTCGTTATGTTGTTATGATTAATGTATGTGCATGAACAAGGAGATTTTAGATGGGGATTTTAAAATTTTGGGATAATTTTTTTTTTATATCTAGCTGAATTCATTTACAGTTTTTTTTCTTTTTCTTTACATCACTTTTGTTAGTAGGTATGTATGTGTGTGTATATATATATATATATATATATATATATATATATATATATATATGTTTGCCAAATCTTTGTTGAAAGGATTATGGCCAGAATTCATAGTTGCTTTAGGCAAAACAGGCTAAAATAGTATTTAGTTTCTTCATATTAAAAGTGGGTGGTTAAGATCTCCACGCTAGTCCTCGAGCAGATGTGTGTATTACCTGTTCTTTAGATATACGTAATTACTACCCAGTATGTTTTTATGGATGCACCCCCCCTTGCAGATTATCTATTGGATTATTGAGCAACTGTGTAGTCTTGTTTACTTTTCTTTTTTTATTCCCCCCTCCCCAGTATCTCACAGCCTTACTCCTCACTCTCACCTTGTTACATTGATTTGTATTTTTACTTATTGCAACTGACTTGCTAATTGATAGCCTGTGTACTTACTCTGTTTGTTTCTCTTTCTATACCCCCTCTCCTGACCACTTTTTTTTTTCTGTCCAGTGCCTCATATAGCAGTACATCGTCGGAAATTGATGATGAAATCAGTCAAAAAATGATGGATCTGGTATTTGAATTGCTATGTCAGGGAGAGTTGACTCTTGCAAAACTACTCCGTCGGAAGATTGTAGAGAAAATTGAGGCGAGGAAGAATATGGAGAATTCAGCTAAATCAAGCTTGTTACCGTCACATAGCTTAACGCTCCAGTAAGTATGGCACATTTCTTGTTCTTTCTTTTTTTCTTCTTGTTTTACATTAGGAGATATATATATATATATATATATATATATATATATATATATATATCTATATCTAGAGGTACCTACAATAATTTGCTGAAAAAAGAGCATATCATGCCCCAAACTTGATAAAAACAAAGTTTTATTGTCAAAATGTTTGTTATTATTAAGAGGAAAGACCAAAGTATTTTTTGATTATTTTAATAAATTTTTTAATCATTTCTAAGACATTTTGAAATTTTGGTTAAAAATCTTTTTTCTCTTGTGTCAGCAGTAACAGTGAAAGTTAGTATAGGAAATTTTTGCATCTTTTTTTTTTTTTTTTTTTTTTTTTTTTGAGATAAAAAAACACACTGACTTGGAAATTCTTGCAAAAATCAAATAATTGCTGGATTTTAATGAAACTTTCAAGACTTAGTCACAAATGAATTAAATTATTTTAGAAACTTTTCTTTTTTCTTTTTAGAAAAACATGGTAGAAATAAGCTTCTTTTCTTTTCTTTTTTTTTTTTTTTTTTTTTTTTTTTTTACACCTCTTACCCCATCTTACTTCTTGAAATTTCAAGAAATTAAATTATGTCTTCATATTTATATTAGTTGAAAGCAGGACTCTGGAGAATGTAAATCATTAATTTTTTTTTTTTTTTTAAGCAGTAACTCATTTACTGAAAATCTGCTTTGAATTGTAAAATAAAAAATGCAATCAAATTAAAACATTATCTAATCAGAAAAAAACTTTTAATTGCTTTTTTAATAAGATATATTAAGGACACTATTCTCTTAAGAAAAACTTTTTTCAATGAATAATGAATTTTTACAAGGTTTTTCTTTTTTTTTTTCATTTAGTTAGAATAACTTAAGTTTTAAATAGTTTTAATCTTTTAAAATTCTGTATTGATTTGTACCTTTTAGATGATATTACTATAAAGTGAAAACTATATTTACTAATCATCAAATACCAATATTTTTGAAAGAATTTTGAATTTTTTTGTATGTTTAGTGTCAATTTTCTATGTATGGTTAACCATAAATTAACATAAAATACGAACAATAACAATAGTAAATTTACAACAAAAAATATTTAGAATATTAAAATTCAATAAAACTCACACACACACACACACACATATATATATATATATATATATATATATATATATATATATATATATATATATATATATATACTTGGCATATAAAGGGTATATAGGTAGAGTACTGGTTGGAGTGCAGGAGAGATAACATTAGTTTCAGCCCTGACTAGGTGTTCCATAATCATTGGTCTTGTGCTGATGTCTTCCAGTGTGCATTTCAAGGGCTTCATACAACTCTGGAGTTTTACTCTTAAATCGTGCCCTTCAATCCCCGTGTGAAATTAAGGATTCTATTTAAAAAAAAAATCATTACACAGATAATAACTTATTAGGTGTTTTTGTCAATTGTATTCTTCTTTTTCTATATGTCATGTCCCTTCAGGGCATAGGCGATGAAGGCTCTCCACAACTTCCTATCCCTTGTGGCCCTTGATAGTTTTCTCACTTTGCTAAGGCTCCCAAACTCATTTCTGTCAACCATTCACAAAATCTCACCAGTAAGTGACTCACTACCCTTCCCTTATCTCTCTTGTCTTCATTAGGCCCCTCCTCCATATGAGTTCATTTTTTTCAAACCTTTCTTCCTCATTATGCGTCCAAGTATTTTCAGTTCTCTCTTTTCTTGATTCTGAGTAGAAGTGTTCTTTTTGTTGTCATTTTCTTTAAGACTTCCTTGTTGCTTATTCACTACAGCATTGGAATTCTCAGTATCCTTCTGTAGAACCACATAACAGTGGGGAAACAAAAAATAACTTGCCTTAATAAATCATGTCATAATAAATACATTACTCTTATAATTGCCAATATAAACAAACTATCATGCTGACCTTTTTAGGAAAATTAGAACAGGAATTAAGAAAACAAAAGATAATGATTGACAATGCATTTAAATATTTGAAGATCAAAGTTAACAGGAAAACAAGAAGTCAGAAGAGAGTTACACAAGTGAGAAGTGTGGTAAAAGAAACTGTTATAGAGAACTTATGGTTAACATTTAGCATATTATAATTTTCTGAAATTAATCTATTAAATTTAATGTCTGATCATTGGAAGAATGAAAAATTAATCTCCAGTTGTAGGAAAATTTGAAACAAATGTTTTGAGTAAGTATATTTATCAAGAGTAAAACTTTTGTCTCAATAGAAATATTGAAAAGTTAGCAGCCTAAGCAAGAAACTCTTTAAAATGCACAATTCTGATTTGGTCAGATTTTTAAAAGTTGGTTCAGCTGATAACTTTCAGTTCTCTGTGGTAATTTTACTCCATAGGATAAAACCATGTTGATAGTTTTCAAATCATCTAAACTTCATATATATTTTCAATAAATGTGTGATTTTTTTTTTTGGATTTTTTTTTTCCCCCTTGTTTTTGTTTTTTGTTCTTTCCCTCTTTCCTTCCAAAATGTAATTGTTAATTGTTTGTCATTTTAGGCCTCCAGATTTACTTCACTTCAAATCGCAAGATATAGCAGAGCAGATGACTTTACTTGATGCAGAGTTATTTCAAAAGATTGAGGTAAGTTCAGAGTTTGTTTACTTATCTTTTTTTTTTTTTTATTATTATTTTTTAATTGGTATCAATTATGCAAGGCAGTAAAGCCACTAAAATCCAAGGAGTTACCGGGTGAGGAAAAATTAGGAACAGAAACATTAATAATGAGTGAAATGAGTAATCAAGAGGACAGTGGATAGTGATTGACACTGCATTTAAATTTTTGCAGAGTAAAGTTGGCTGGAAAGCATGGAGTGAGAAGGGAGCTCCACAAGTAAAGAGTGCGAGAAAAGAAGTTGTTAGCATAGGACTTACAGCAAAATCTAGCCAACTAAACTGTAAATTGATGATATCTCAGTGCCAGTTTGGTACAACACTTAAATTTAAAAAGTCTAGGTGCCATAGTGAACAATTACCATGAAAGTATTTATAGAAAAGCCACGAGATCAGCACCAATAAGATTGCTGATTCTTTGGATCTTATCAAGGAACTCAATGTAAATAGCAGGGGCACTGGACCAAATGTGGCAGCAATATTCTAAGTATGGATGAATGGTAGATTTATAGATATGTAAGATAGATTCTGGAGAGAAAAATTGTCTCACAGAGCACAGTGAACCAAATTTCTTAGTAGATGACCTAGCAATGGATTCAATATAGTCTTTCCACTTCATGTCAGCTGAATACATTAGTCTTAGAAGGTACAATGAGTCAATTTCCTGGAGGTTAGCATCAGCCATGCTGATGGAAGGTAGAGAGGGTTCTCTCAGATGATTAATGGAGAGAAGTTTAGATTTGGAGATGTAAAAATTAACAAGCCATCTTTTGCCCCAGTTAATGACGAACTTAAGCTCATTTTGGACATCAGCTGCTATTTTGACCTTGTTGAACTGAACAGCTTTACTGTCAAAGCAGGAGTAAATGATTGTGTCATCAGTGTAGATGTCACCGGGAAGGTCATTAATGGAAATTAAAAATGGAGGACATTTGCGTTAGTATGAAAAGTTCTAGAAAGGATATTTTCATTTCACAATTTGATAGGAAAGAGACTGTGACTGGATCACTTACATTATTTACATTATTCAGACTGTTATCCTCATCTTCATTGCAATATTCATTTTTTGGCTGTTGTATACTCCGGCCTTTTGAGGAGCGTGGAACCACCTCTTAATTGCTGGTGTTCCCAGGTCCACCCTGACCCTGGGTGGTAGCACCTGTTAGGGTCCTAGCTATGGGCAAATAGTTAACCCCGGAACTGAGGTAAAAAGCATTATAAGGTGTAAAAATAGGTTTTAATACCAGAAATACTTTGTAAAAAAATTATTACCAGAAATAAATTTTTGAAGAAAAAAAAATATTACCAGCAATACATTTTTGAAAAAAAACCATTACCAGCTATACGTTTTTGAAAAAATAATATTACCAGCTATACGTTTTTGAAAAAATAATATTACCAGCTATACGTTTTTGAAAAAATAATATTACCAGCTATACGTTTTTGAAAAAATATTACCAGCTATATGTTTTTGAAAAAATAATATTACCAACTATTCGTTTTTGAAAAAATAATATTACCAGCTATACATTTTTGAGAAAAAAAATATTAACAGAAATAGATTTTTGACAAAACAAAAATATTACCAGAAAAAAAAAAAGTTGTCGGCATTAAATGATGCATTGAGGTTGATATGCCGTAAAACAAAACAAACCAAACCAAACTTTTAATATCGTCCACTGGGGTAGATTGTTCTAGTTCCACATTCCATGCCTTTTATAGATGTCTCAGTTATCTCCCATTAACTCAGTTCTCTAAGTTTTTGTTCACCACAAACTGAATTTCTTAGTGGAAGCATTGTCATTAATTTATGACAAGTAGTTCTTTCATTTTGTTTCTTCTGCTGCCTTTCATTGCAACTTTTAAGTTACCATTCCATGATTGTTAAACAGAAGAAAGATGAAAGGAATTAATAATAGTAACAAAATAATATTCTTTTGAAATTATGTTTAAATACTTTTCTGTATTTTGGATACTCTTATTTTATTTTTTTTCACAGTCAAGGAATGTGTGACAAATGTGATTTTTTAAAGTTTTCCTTTACCCCAAAAGAAAAATATTCATTATTAAACATGAATACCAGAAGCTTAGGACAAGAGCTGATCTTGATCAGTGAAAATGCTAAACAATGATTGGGGATTTTTAAAAAAATACAGGACATTGGCTGTTTTAAAGAAAACAGCATGGTGGCAAAAATTTACTATAAAGTAATATAAACAGTTTAAAGAAAGATTTATTCCCCTATTTGTATTTCTCTCGTTATGTGCCTTATTAAATCCATAATATAATAACACCAATACTTCATGGATGGAATGGAATGACTGACAAACAGGTTTTGTTCTTATAATACTAAGACATACACAAAATTAATACATATATACACATCTCCCATGCATATATCTACACAGCAAAACAGACTTTAGGGAGAAAAAAATGGAATAGTCCTACATATAATATGGAGATACTCCTGTACCTGGAGAGGCCATTTTTAGGACTCCAGATTCAAACAGACCAGATTCATCTGTTCCAGTCAAAAACATATTCCATGAATGGGGGGAAAAAGCAAGTCTTGAGTTTTCCCAAATTGAGGTCTGTGAACTGGAGTTTCATTCTATACTGGGAAAGATATATTTCTTGAGGAAAATAGCACCATGGAGGCAGATTGAGCCTCTGCCTGGGCTAAGGAAAGCAGCCTTAATGTTTGGTTGCTGTCAATGAACTGAAAATTGACTGATGTTTTCATCACTATATGGAGGCAAGGTGGAGTAATGGATAGCAACTTGGATTGAGGAATCAGAGAGCCGAGTTCAAATTCCAATCAAATTCCATTACATTCACATGTTCTAATACCCTTGGGAAAGGTATGAATCCTCTTCTCCCCCCAGCTATGGGTAAATAGCAGGACAGAATGGGTTCTGTAGCCTTGGATGGCAACTGGTGTAGACCAGTTGCCATCCAAAAAATAACTGTTACTCTGGGAAAAAAAAATGGCAAGCTACTGCGGGGAAAGAAAGAAATGGCAAGCTACTGCGGGGAAAAAATCTGCCTTGTCAGTCATGTATCAAGAGATACATGATCGCTTACGAGTGTATCATGCATAGCACATAACTGACTGATGGAAAGATGACACGAAACGGCCATCATGTGACCCATGTGATTTACCCCACCAAAGGGAGATAAGCACCTTTTGTATGCCTGCAACATTAATTAGATTGGGATTTGTCATTCTTTGACACTGAAGCTAAAAAAATGTCTGGTTAAATTTATGAAGTTGACTGTGCTTTCATTCAGGGATAAAATATATCTCAATATTGATAAGAAAGAATTTTTAAATTAAAATGATAATTCTTATAATTTGTCTTTTTCAGATTCCTGAAGTATTATTATGGGCCAAGGAACAATCAGAAGAATTAAGTCCTAATCTGACTTTATTTACAGAACATTTTAACAAAATGTCTTATTGGTAAGTACAAGATAGAAAATTCTCTGTACAAATAGAATTGCTTATTAACTTCAATGACATCACCTTTTTCTTTTTCTTCCTCATTTTTCTTAAATGTTATCACACTGTATGTGACTTCATTTGCTGTACAAAAGGTTTATCCTGCCACTGAAGGTGTCTCTTATCCTTGAATGATAGTATGTTTGAATTTCATAGTTGTGTTGTCATATCCAGCTATGGCAACAGAAAACAACTTTGAGTGCAATTAACCTTAGGATTACTTGAAAAAGAATGTAGTTGAAAGGGAAGTAATATTAATAATGCAGTGTGCTAAAGGTTTTAATGTTATCAGGAATCTCAAGTTGTTAATCCCTAGAATTATTAAAGTAAGAAATAAGAACTAAAAATAAGTAGAGCCTCAAACAACATTTTGAACATTTATCCCTTGACTGAACTGCATACTTTTGTGTGTGTATGAGATGTAGATATATTGGCTTTAAAACTAATACTTATTTTGTTATAGTCAGATACTCGGGGATTTCATTATGACTTCAGCCTTGATAAATCTGACCAATCTCCTAGTAATATCAAAGGAAATTGGGGCATATGCCTGCAAAAGAATTGTGCACCAACAAAGCCTGCTGGTATTGTTGGGGTGTGCTGGATTAGTTCTTATGATGCTCTGATCACCAAACCAGGCCTAAATCCAAACTCATCATCTGATGAAAGCTTTACAGCTCACCACTGTTGTTGCATCAGTCATTATATAAGCTTCGTAATTTGATGTACTTCAGAAGAATTTTAAAATGCGTATAAAATATTTTTTTCTTTTTTCAATTACTGAATTTAAAATTATACTAAATTAATTCTAATTGGTTTGAAATTACAACTTAAACCACCTGAAGAAGGCTGGAGTGTACAACAGCTGAAATGTTGTGAATATAGCAATAAAGATGAGGACAACAGTCCAAATGATGTAAATTGTCATAATATTTTATCTCAGCAATATAGACAGATGTCAAATTAATTCTCTATAATAATTCAGGTCACTTAATAGCCAAAACTATTTTATATATTTGCAGTAGTAATATCCATTATTAGATATTTCTAATTAATGGTGACAATTTGTTTTAATTTTATAATTTCTATTTTGATTTTGTTTTAATTCTAATAAATATAAAAGAAATGGTTATCTAAATTGAAATATTACAATAAAAAACATCTTGAATAATACTAAAGACAATTTCTTACAAATTCTCGTATTCAAGATGGAGACTGAAAATTGAGAATTGGCAAGTTCAAAAATATATATTTTTTTTTTACTGTGACTCATTCTATATTTGAATCAATTCAATACAGTAATACACCAACATTGAAAATTTTATTTGTTAAAAGTGAAAATTATTTTTTTTAGTAAAAAAAAAATGGTTTACAATAAGTTGTAGTATTCTCATTTTATTTAATACAAAAACTGACTAAATCAAATTTGTTACTAATGCAAAATATTTACAAATATTGTTTTGTCATGTTCAACATAGTAATTATTTTGTGATTACTATCTGTACAATGTGCGCATATTGAAGCTAATATTAATTAAAAACATTGATGTTGAAATCTTTGAGCCACTAAATATTGACCCACCCAAATATTGTGGGAGGAAAAAAGCATTATTGATATAGGATTTTTGTATAATATGTTTACATATTGTTTTATAATATTCTTATAAAAATTTGTTTTTTAGGTGTCGGACAAAAATTCTTATCCAAGAAGAAGCCAAAGATAGAGAGAAATATTTAATGAAATTTATAAAAATAATGAGGGTAAAACATTTTTATTCCTACTTCAACTTTTTTTCAATATTTCAAAAATGTATGAAGTGTGTTTCATATATATATATATATATATATATAATTATGAATTGCTATGTTAAAAAAATATACTACAGCTAGTTTGTAATTTTGCAATCCAGAAATCTTTTGCAAAATAAGTTTTAAAATTGTGAACATTTTGTAGTTTTAATTTCCTTTTAACATTGCATAAAATGTAACATTGTAAAGGGAAAAATGTTGCTATTTTTTTTCTTTTTATTTTACAGCATTTGCGAAAGATGAGCAACTTTAATTCTTATTTGGCAATTCTTTCTGCCCTTGACTCGGCACCAATCCGAAGATTAGAATGGCAGAAGCAAAACATGGAAGTAAGTATACCATATTTATTGTGGATGAGATTTGATCACATTTATATGCCCTTTCTTTGTGCATTAATTTAGTTTGAATCTCTTGAATCTAACCATGGTCGATTTGTCAGGGTGGTGGTGACTTCTTGATAATTTCTTGAAGTACTTGAAAATTACACCATTCATTGAAGAAAACCTTGTGAATAGGAAATGCAGAACTGTTTGGTAATTGTTAACTGTTATGCTAGTATGAAGTTATTATTGTTGAATAACACTTCTTACTTCCTTGTCTGCTACAGTTCCTGCTGCCTTGTCTACTGCAGCTCTACTGCTCTCCCATTTTATTTTTGGCATTAGACATCTTTGGTTTTAATATTAGATATGTGCTTTTTGTTTTAAAATTAGGTATTTAATTTTAAAAGCTGGGTTGAAACTAATGTCATACTTTCCCAACTGTTTTATTTGTTATTTTCAACCAATTTCTGTATGCACACAAAATTACCTTACTCACTATATTTCCCTTATGTACAATATTCATATGTTAATTCTCTCATACAGGCAGATTTTACAAGTATAAAACATGTAATATGTTTTATACTTGTAAAATCTGCCTGACTTTATTAATAGAATATCTCAAAATGAAACCATTTTGGTCATCTTGAAATGGGAGAACGAATCTTAAATTTCTTGTTTTATGTCTTCCCTTGTTTTGTCAGTTTTTTTTAGAAAAATAGTTCATTATTGCAAAGGCAACTAAAATTGCTTTCATGACATGGTAGAACACTTAAGGTCTGTGGGGAAAATTGTGAAAATGGCCTACCTCGGAAACGCGTTCGAATCTGCGCAGTATGTAAACTCTGGTCCTTCCAACGGTAAAAAAGAAAACCAAAATGGCGGCGCCAGCGTTTTATGCCGGCGGTCTCGGTCAGTTAACGCGAAATCTCATTTACCTCGTGATTCGCATGCAAATCGTGGTCGGTCCGCAGCTGTATAAAGCAGGCTCGTTTCTGCTGTTTCAAATCAGAAGGCTTTCGGCTCGTGAGAAGGTTGGACGTGCGACACTGGTTTTCTTTGTGCCTACCTGCTATCATCAGTTGAATTGTTGAGTTACACACCACAAGGTCAAAAAAAAGAAAGGCTGTCACTTTTTGATTGTAAAGAAAGAAAATAAATATAAAGTCATCCTTTACATTTTCTTTTTTTTTTTTTTAATTTCCTTGATGTCTTTTATTTATTTTTCAGGCATTAAAAGAATTCTGTCAATTAATTGACAGCTCTGCATCATTCCGAGCCTATCGCCAGGCTCTAGCAGAGACAGAACCTCCTTGTATACCTTATTTGTGAGTAGTTAATTCTTAATATTTCTGAAGTCAACATACAAAAGAGCTTTTAAAATTACCATCTTTTATTTTATATATATGTGCATGTGTGTGTGATATCCATATTATATTTTTCATATTGGTGCAAATGTTTTAAAATGTTATATTTCTGTGCAACCCAAAATGTAAAGTTGTAAACATGCATTGTAATTATTTAAATATGAAATGTTTATTTTTTGTTTCTTCTTTTTGCTTTGTAAAGATAAATTTTTTATCTCTTATCATTCCATTTGGTTGACTTTAGTATTTTATTTTTGTTGGTTTTCTTCTTACAAGGTTTTGAGCAATCCATTTTATAACCTTCTTCAGGTGTACATTCTATAGAAAGAGTGGCAATTATTTATTTTTTTAAGTTTTAGCAAAAAAAATGAGCCCAATGAGAAATATAGTAAAAACAAAAGCAACAAAAAAAACGTGATCAGTTATTGTTAGAATTGTTATGGAATGTGAAAACAGAGCTGGGATGGTCAGTGATTGATCAGAATCCCTTGTGGGCAAGGTATTCTGACACTGATGCATTGCCTTTGTCTAAGTTTTAGATATTTTTTTTATTTTTTATTTTTTTTTAATCAATTCACCTCAAGCAAGACATAAGGGGCTTCTGGGAGTGAAAGAGGATGAGAAGTTTTTAGAAGGAATTGGAGACACAATCCTAAATAGAAAACAAGGGATAAATCACTACTCTTGTTCAAAAGACCAGGGAGAAGTGTGAACGGAATGATAGGCAAACCTACTTCTATGAAAAATCTAAAATGGCACAAAGTCCACAGGGGGCCGCAGGAATTTTGAAATGTTGATAACGCTTTGCACACAGAGATGCTAAGACAATGAGCCACCTCTTAGAATTCATGCTGCCACATTTGTTCCTCTCAAGTAAGAAAAAGAAAACCGTCTTCTCATTAATACCATCTATGTAGTAGCATTGGTGGTTACTGACAACATGGAATACAACAGATTTCTTAAAGTTCTTTCACTTTTATTGCAATTTATTCCTCATAATGTGGATAGTGCCTTTTGAAAAGAAAAAAAAGCATTTCATTTCTAAGAATGACAAGAAAAATTTTAAGTTGATCATTACATTCAAGGAAATTAAATTAATTCCAATTCTTATGTTTGTTTCATTAATTTTACTGTAAATTTAATGTTGTTGCTAAAGATAGTTTCATTTTCAATATACTAACAAAGACCTACATACCAGCATATTGTAGTGAGTCCCAATAAAAATAAAATATAAAAAGAATTAAAATTAAAATAAGGTATTTGTGCTTTCCTTTAAAACACTTATCTCTTTCTCTCTAAACTTTTCTCAACCTACAAAAAGGCAACCCTCAAATAAAAAGAGGAGGAAGAAGAAAAGACTGAACCCAGGCCAAAACCCTGGAAGTTTGCAGGAGAAGAGCTTACTTATTTGTGACTGAAAAATAGCAAAATTCAGGAGGCACCATGTCTAAGTTCCGTTATAAAAAAATGAAAACAAAAAGAATGCCAGAAAATAAAATAATTTGGCCAATCAAAAAAAATTGACAGAAAGAGACTTTTTTTATGTTTGTACCAAATTCTGAAGCCTGGTAAAAAATTATAAGAACCTGACACCTCTAGACCAACGGGCAGAAGGATGGCTGGATAGGATAGAACAAAAGAACACTACTGTGTAGAAACGAGCCATATGTGACACATGAAGAAGCAGTTAAGAGGTCATCAGATACTGACATTTCTGCCATGTTTCAGAGCCCAAAAGAACACAGTAGATTGACACTGATCTAATTTCTCACATTACTACTACCATGGTCTGACTTCCAACTACCGAAACGGACATTTCTTCAGACTATCGATATCCATCTTATTAACAAGCCTTATTGACACAGCCAAATACCAAAGGATTCACTCATCACCCTAAAGAAAATAATATTATTTATTTTAACCCTTGAGTCAGTTTATTTTATTCCCAAAGTTTCTGATAAAATAATTATCCTACTATCTATCAACACTGGAAATGTTCAGAAGTGAACCAAAATGTCACAGTATAAATATTTCCTTTGGTTAATACATTTTTACATTTTACAAGGTATGAACAAAGAAAAAGTGTCTTGAATGTTATTTCATTTTATAATTGAGTAATGTTTACCATATTTTGCTACTTATAAGATGTATTTGTTTTCCTATAAAATATCTGTAAAGCCCACCCTGCATCCTATATATCAAATGTCAGTAATGAGAGTAAACTTCTTTTCTAATTATTACATTCTAAATAGTTACCATAAATTTGGTACTTCTTCTTGGACTTTGATGAATTTATCATTAGGTTTTCATGCTAAAATATGTGGTAAAATTGGGGATAGTGGGTAGTGCTATGAAGTTCAAGAATAAAACCTTTTTTCTGATTTCTTCCTTTAAAAGTTTGGAGGCAGACATCTAATGATATAAACAGTGCCATGGATAAATTGTTGTCTAAATGACACAAAAATGAAAATAACACTGACATCTTATTTTAATAGATATATTTACTAAAATTACACAAAAATGTCTTGAAATACTAAAGACTAAATTTATTCAATAAAATTCTGCATTGGCTTCAATCACAGCCTCCAGATGACTTTGGAATCTCCTGCAACTCTTCTGGATGGTCTCCTTGTTTAAATTGGTGAATGCTGCCATAATCCTTACCTTCAGTTCATCTTTGATGTTACAAGGAGTTTTGTTGGTCTCTCACTCAGCTCTGCCCCACACATAATAATCAAGGGGGTTGCAGTCTGGGGAGTTAGGTAGCCAGATGTAAGGGGTGATGTGGTCAGAGAAATTGTCTGACAGCCATGACTAGGTTCTCCTGCATGTGTGGCATGGTGCAGAGTCCTGTTGCCAGACATGTAGTATTCCAGCACTCGCCCTCTTAACCCAGGGTAGCACTACCTCCTCAAGGCACTTGATGTAAGTCTCCGTGTTGAGTCTGAGGCTCTGTGGGAAGATGAATGTAGGCATAATGTTGTTATCACCAGTGATCACTCCAAACACCTTCATAATCAACTCTTTCCGAATTCTGTGCACTGTCCTCAGATTGACACCCAAATACTCTGAAATATTTGGATTGGATTGGATCGTCCGGTGCAAATGCTGCTTCTGAATATCTGATGGAATGAATTGCTTCATTGTTCTCTTTTTCTCACAGATGGTGCACAACTGACCCTCCTATACTGTGCAGTCAACAAAATTGAAAACAAACAATGCACATGCATGAAATTAAAAATACAAAATGGCGATAATTTACTCATTGCGCATTCTATATTAGAAAGTTCCCAGACTGTACATGTATTTTTATTTAACAAAAATGCACATTCATCTAATTCTCAATGATATCTAACCTACCGAGTCAGTCTACTAGTAGGTTTTGTGTAGAGTCTTTTATTCAGTTATACAAAGTTTTGTAATGTTATGTCAGAATGGTTCTGTGATCATAATGGCTGACAAATTTGAGCAACAAACTTGCATTAAATTTTGGATGGAACATGACAGATCTGCTACCAAGACAAGATCCTCAAAATGCTTTGTCAGGCTTTTGGCTATCACTGATTGGCCACAAGTTTCAATCAGTATTGGTTCAAGTTGATGAATATTCAGGGTAAGCAATCGCCAGCAAAATGTCAGAAAATATGGAAAAACATTTTGAACTTGTCCTTGGGGACCACTGTCAAACAGTCCATCATCTTTCTCATGTTTTGATGCTTATAGAGTTTTCCAGGAAATCCAAATCTAGGAACTCTCCAATATCATGCAATCCTATTCATAAAAAGACTGATACCATTTTGTAAATTTAAAAAGTCCATCATTGTGTAGAATTTTCACTACTCAGATCCTAAGTTTTTTCTGGTTGCATTTTTTTTGTTTCTTCTTCTAAAAGAACATTATTACCAATAAATGAAGGGATTCTGAAGAGTTTTTGACCCCAACTCTGATTCTTCCCCAAATCATTATTTCATTGTCAGAATATCAGAATACAGTTTGTGCTGAAGCAGAATCAAGCAGATGTGGAAATTTAAATACCTGGGAAGCGTCTTGACAGAGGATGGTAAATGCAACACTGAGATCTGTAGACATATTGGGATGGCCAAGGAGAAAAAGCTGGGCAGACTACTGTGAGACAGGAAGATATCCTTGGTAACAAAGAAAAGAATACTGAACTGTTACGTGACATTTCTCCTTCTTCCCAGCAGTGAATGTTGGATGATTTCCTCAAAGATGAAGAAGAGACTTGAGGCGACAGATGTGCTTCTACAGAAGGATGCTAAAGATGTCATGGACTGAGCATGTGAGCAACGATGAAGTCTTAGAGAGTTTGCAAACAATGAGGAGGCTTATACTTAACATCAGGAATAGGCAGCTGAATTTTCTGGGACACATAATGAGGAAGGAGGGCCTGGAGAATCTGATACTCACGGGTCAAATAGAGGGAAAGAGAGATAAGGGAAAACAATGCGTGACATACCTGGCAAACTTAAGCAAGTGGATGACAGAACATGCTCTGGAGGAGGAAGCAGAGGGAAGGAATTTGTTGAGAGCTGCAAGGGATAGAAGGAGGTGGAGAGTCATGATCGCCTACATCCTGAAAGGACATGGCACATAAAAAGAAAGAAATAAACTGAGGCAAGAACTTTTCAGCACCTTCATCATGGACATCACAATTATTCTTTTAGTGTGAAAACAAAAGCCTAAAAATATCCAAAATACAGAAAAGTATCCAAAGATAATTTCAAAAGAATATTTTGCTTCTATTATTAATTCCCTTCATCTTTCTTCTGTTTAATATTTGTGGGATGGTAACTTAAAAGTTGCAATGAAAGGCAGCAGAAGAAACAAAATGAAAGAACTACTTGTCAAAAATGAATAATAATAATAATATTAATAATGCTTCATCTAACAAACATGCTATGTTAAAGTAATTTTTGTTTTTTTGAGAGATTGCTAGTATGATTGTATAAATATTTAGTCACCATTATGTTGTGGTAATCAACACTTTGGATAGTAAATATTTACCGGCTCCTGGAAAATTTATCCCACAAACAATATTGTCACACTCAATCTGAGTCCAGGTAAAAATGAATAATGCAGAATAATATAAAACAAACAAGAACCAATTTGATGTATTGACAAAAGGAATTAGAATAAAAGTAGAAACCATTTAAAGACAAGTAACATAGAAAACAAAGTAGAGAATGCATGTTTTTGTGTCAAATTTGTGGATGCCTACATGTGTGAATGAGTACAAAAGTCAAGAGAGAAAAGTAAAACCATTGTGGGGGGCATCTCCCCGCCACACACATATTACTACATCTTATAGTCAGAAGCTGCAAAAGAGACTAGGGGGAAAAATGTATGCTTTTTATAGGCTGATGCAGTTCCCCTTCCACCCCCAGAAACTTTTTTTTTTTTTTTTTTTTTTTTTAGCAAAATCAAGTGGGATGACCTACAAGTCTTTATAGAAATCTGTATGCTAAAGAATCACTTATTTATTTTCAGAGGATTAATTCTCCAAGACCTGACTTTCATTAATATTGGAAACCAGGACCTACTTCCAGATGGCAGTATAAACTTTGCTAAAAGGTGGCAACAATTCAATATTCTTGAGAGCATGCGCAGGTTCAGAAAATGGTAAATCTTTATTTCTTTTAACTCATTCTATCCTGAACTAATTGAAAAAGTTTTTTCTATTTTTATGGACAAATTGATTGTAAATCTGGCTTATATTGGTTGTGTTTCTTTTCATTAAAATAATTGAAAAAATAAAAAATTCTAAACAGTCACCTTCTTTTGACTTTGCCTAACCCAAGTGAGATGAATATAATTTTAATCAGCCTTTTATAATAACTTAGTGACTTCTTATAATGCATTAATCTTACTTTTAAATCTCGGTTGAATAAGTGGTAGATTTATACTAGAACCAAAGATTAGTAATGTTAACTTGACGCATCATTTAAACCAGAGGTAAGCAAACTCTGGCCCACATCCAGCCTGCAAAGAATTTTTGTTCAGCCCACATCCAGCCTGCAAAGTTATTTTTGTCTGGTCCGCCAACTTAACACCTGGGCACTAATTATCTAATTAATTTGTGGGGCAAATGGCAGAAAAAAAAACAGTTGGAGTTAATTGACTTATAATGTGACAAATTTTTAAAATCAAAATTTAATTCTGAATTAACTGCTGACTTCTACAATAAATATGTTTTGCCCAGCAGAAAATCTAAAAGTCTATTGAATAATGCAAAAATGATGGTATCATTATTTGGAAGTACGTAGGCTTGGGAGCAACATTTTACAAAAATGAAATATACTAAAAGTCGGTTATGAACAAGGTTGGGTGATGACCACCTGGATGATGTTTTGCTCCTGTTACCAACAAATATTTCACCTGATGTGAAGAAGTTATCAAACAATAAGCAGAAACAAGTTTCTCATTAAATAATTTGCCATTTCTAAATGTATTTTATTTGTAGTAAGGAATTTGCATTTTTTGTTGATTTGTCTTAGTTGTTATCCTGTTATTCCTGCAGTAAAATAAAGAACCTTGTTTAAATAATATAACATTAACTTTGTTGTTTCTCTTTAAACCTCCAGACCAAGACAGTCTTCTGGACAAAAGTGGTCTCAGGTGAAGATAATTTATTATAGTTTATTTAATATCATGGCCCTTCTCTGAGACACTGCATAGCTTTCTGGCCCTTTCTCTCTAAAAGGTTGCCAACCACTGGTTTCAATTGTATACAACCATTTTCTCAGATCAATGATTAAAAATGGCTTCAAGTGAATGAAACCTCTAGGTCTTAGAGAGAGCCATTATCCATCAAACCCTATAGACCTAGCGTTAGAGAATCACAAAGATCTTTATCAAATAACAGAAACCAAATCACATGAAGAGAAAATGACATAACTTTGACTTTCCACACTACTTCAAATGAAAAATTAGGAAGGAAACTGCTATAAATATTAGAAAACAATGACAGTAATATATATAAATTTCATATATATATATATATATATATATATATATATATATATATATATATAATATTATATATATATAATATCAACTGAATGTAATGCTAACTGTTCAGAATGCTGAATGTTTTTAATTTCACCATTACCATTGGGCTGAGAATGTCATCCATTTCACTGTACTTATTTTTCTGGATATATTTAAATTAATAATTTCAGAATTCCTTAAACCTTTGTTGATTGCAAATGTCTTAACATTGTCTTCTTTTAAGAAGATGGCACCTGTTGTCATTATGCCAGGATGATTCACAGAAAGAATTGTTTTCAAACTGGTAGATTAGACCTGGAGACAATGGACTGTGACCAGTTAGATCATCAGATTTGACCCCTTTGAATTTTTCTATAAGTCAACCAAACAAAGATTAGAGCTCTGGATGATTTATATGAATTACTACAGATAACATTATATTGCAAATTCTCCAAATTGGTTTTGAAATGGCCGCTGGACAGTTTGAAGGTTTCATTTTGATGATTCAATAAGTGACAAATCCTTTATTCTGGAATTAATTTTCTTTTTAATAATGTCAATATTTCATTAAAACAAACAGTGACTTTATGGACCCTCTCTATAAGTAAGTAGGCATCTGTTTATCTCACCAGATAAAGATAGTGCACTGTTTGGTCAAAATTCATTCCTTTGGTGGTGAGACTGGCGTAATGTCCCCAGAGTGCAGGCCTGGGTGATGGTATATGGCAGCTGTGTGCTGCTAAGACTACATGTCTCCCCATCTCTTGGCCATACCAACAAGATCCAATGGAATTCAGTGCATTACATTTGTGGATGGCTTGGCCATAGGAGTTGCAGGAAAAATTGCCAGTGTTGACAGCTAACCATCTTTGAGGCTCCACTCAGGTTTTTCTGGCTGGATTTACTTTCATAGCCTTTCTCCATGTTTGGATACGACTGCAAATCATTGAAAGTTAAAAATCAAGCTTTTCCTTCCCCTAAATGGACTGTCTTTCTGGGCTGTTGGACTCCATCTTGCTGAAACCACTAGTTATAAGGCATCTGTTGTCTGCCTTTACCCTTTCTCTAGTTTGGAACTGAACTTTGTTGTCAGAGGCTATTTGTGACTTATACTGTGGAAGCATTTTATAGACAGTGGGAGCTTGGATCCACCATCACCCCCACTGGTTATAACAACCTAT